GGAAGGCCCTCTATGAGGTGGATTGATTCAGTGACTGGGGTAATCAGGATGGGTGTGTCAGAGACAATGAGATTGGCAAAGGACAGAGCGGGGTTTAGGGCCGTTGTACATAGGGTCGCTATGAGTCGCAAGCGACTCGACAGCACTTAACAACAACAACATATTCCTCCTAAACAGTTCTCTCCCTAATCTGTTTCAATGCAGTGTACATTATTTATCCCCTCTTTTCTTAGTTTACCCCTAACCCTGATGTCAGTACCATTTTACAACAGTGGGACTCTGCAGTATTTGTCCTTTTGTGACTGAGATACTTCACTCAGCGTAATGTCCTCCAGGGTCATCCATTTTGCATAATTTTTCATGAGTTCCTTGTTTTTCAATGCAGCATAGTATCCTATTGTGTGAATAAACCACAGCTTCTCTATCCATTGGTTTGTTGATGGGCACTTGGGTTATTTCCAGCTCTTTGCTATTGTGAACAAAGCCGCGATAAAGTTGGGTGTGCATATTATATATCTGCTTGGCTGGCAGTTCTGGTTTCTTTAGAATATATTCCCAGTAGTGGAATTGCTGGGTCAAATGGTATTTCTATTTGCAACTTTTTGAGAATGCGCCATACCTCCTTCCACAGTGGTTGGATCATTTTATACTTCCACCAACAGTGAATAAGGGTTCCAGTTTCTCCACAATCTCGCCAGCATTTGTTGTTTGCTGTTCTGCTAAATTTTGCTATTCTGACTGGGGTGAGATGATATCTCATAGTCATTTTGATTTGCATCTCTTAGAGCTAGGGATTTTGAACATTTCTTCATGTGCTTGTTGGCCATCTGAATTCATACCCTGCGCCCGTTTTTTAATTGGATTGTTTACCTTTATCTTGTTGTGGTGAGGACTTCAGTTTTGAGAGGGGCAGGGCTTCCTTCTTAGCTTTCAGCACCATCTTTATAAAAAGTGTCTCCATGGGGAGTTCTGGTGGCCTAGTGGCAAGAAGCTGCACTGCAATCCCAGAGGTTCATGGTTTGACTCCACCAGATCCTCTCCTGGAGAAGGAGGGGCAATCTCCTCCTTTACCAGTCAGATCTGATTTGATGGTACACACACAAATAATAATAATAATAAAAAAGTGTCTTCATGTTCAACTTTTTTTTTCTTTTCTGAGTTTGTAAATCTTTTTTTTTAATTGAGATTTTACTACATATCCAACTTTTTAAGGAGCCCCAAGCTGCACTGTGTATAGTTGCTGCTCTGTAAATGCTTGTTGGCTGACTGGCTGAAGGAATGGACACCCAGCCCTTTGCCACAGGCCCCCAGTCACATCTGTGTGGGTGTTTGTCCCTCTTACCGCCCCCCAAACAGGTGTTCTCAGAATACTTTAAGGAGCTGGAGGAGGAGAGCATCCGAGACAATTTTGTCATTGTCTACGAGCTGCTGGACGAACTCATGGACTTCGGCTTTCCACAGACCACCGACAGCAAGATCCTGCAGGAGTGAGTGGGTTCCTGGGGGAGCCACAGGTTGGGGCTGCGGTTGGAGGGAACTCAGGGAGAGCTAAGAGATGTCCCCGGGTCCAGCCACTCGTTCCCGTCTGCGCTCCTGCCAGGTACATCACCCAGCAGGGCAACAAGCTGGAGACGGGCAAGTCCCGAGTGCCCCCCACTGTCACCAACGCGGTGTCCTGGCGCTCCGAGGGCATTAAGTACAAGAAGAATGAAGTCTTCATCGATGTCATAGAGTCTGTCAACTTGCTGGTGAGCTCCCACCTCCACCAGGGCCTGGGGAAGGGAGCACGCCCCATGCCTGCTGACCCCCCATGTCTGTCTCTCAGGTCAATGCGAATGGCAGCGTCCTGCTGAGCGAGATTGTGGGCACCATCAAGCTCAAGGTGCTTCTGTCTGGAATGCCAGAGCTGCGGCTCGGCCTCAACGACCGCGTGCTGTTTGAGCTCACTGGCCGTAAGTGTGCACAGACCTCCCTTCCTGTTCCCCAGTGGGGTGGCCTCACCCTCAACTCTGCATCTTGACATCCAGGGAGAAGAGTAGCTGGTTCTGCAGTTAAGTGCTTGTGCGCCATCTGCTGATCATGGCTAATACTGCAACTATTGGCAACCACAGTTCTTCTGAGGTTGGACTCCGCCAGCTACTCTGTGGGAGAAAAGTGCTTGTTGTTGTTGTTGTTATGTGCCATCGAGTCGCTTGCGACTCATAGCGACCCTATGTACAAAAGCTCTAAATGCTGTTCTATCCTGTTCCTACCTAGCCATCTCAAACTCACTTATTCCCCCCGCTCCGGTCACAGAATCGATCCATCTCATTGAAGGTCTTCCTCTCCTTCGCCGCCCCTCCACTCTGCCAAATATGATGTCCCTCTCCAAGGACCAGTCCCTCCTTGTAACATGCCCAAAGTATTGTCAGACGAAGTTTCAGAATCCTTGACTCCAAGGAGCATTCCGGCTTCACCTTCTCCAGGACAAACCTGTTTGTTCTCCTAGCAGTCCATGGTATATTCGACACTCATCTCCAGCACCACAGCTCAAAGGCATCAATTCTCTTTCTATCATCTCTATTACTGTCCAACTCTCTGATGCATAGCACATAATTACAAAGACTATAGCCTGGATCAGGTGCACCTTAGTCTCCAGCCTGACGTTGTTGCTCTTCAGTATTCATGAGAGGTCCCTCACAACTGACTTTCCCATTGCAATTCATCTCTTGATTTCCTGGCTCCTGTTACCAAGAATGTTGATTGTGGGGCCAAGTAAACTATCTCAATCTCTTCACCATCCATACTGATGCTGCCAGTTGGCCCAGTGGTGAGAATCTTTGTTTTCTTGATGTTGAGCTTCAGTCCATATAGGAGACTGTAGTCCTTGATTTTCTGCAGCAAGCGCTTCAAGTCCTCCTCAGTTTCAGTTAGTAGTAGTTGTTATTGTTGTTAAGTGCTGTTGAGTTGAGTACAACTCATAGCAACCCTATGAACAACAGATCTGAAGCCTGCCCTATCCTGTGCGGTCCTGACAATCTCTGACACACTTGAACCTGTTGCTGAAATCACTGTGTCATCCACCTGGCTGAGGGTCTTCCTTCCTTTCTGTACTCCCCCACCTCCCCAGGCGTAATCTCCCTCTGTAATGAATAGCCTCTCTTAGCAACATGCCCATGAGGCAAAGCCTTTTTTAGCAACATGCCCATGAGGTGCAGTTTAATTATTTTTTGCCAGGAGTACTCTGGCTGTACCTTCTCCAAAATATATCTGTCTGTTCTTTTGGCCATCTATGGGATGTCCAGTGCTCTTCTCCAACACCACAGTTCAAAGGCATCAATT